GACAGCAGGCCCATTCAATCTGCTGGTAGAGAGAATTGTTATAAATGAATAGGTATTACATATTGTTGGGAAAAGCAGCTTTATATTGGGAATAATATTCATCAGGAGTCTAAACACTACTCAGGCATGAGCAGTAGGGCCGGGTAAAACTTTTCCATGAAAACTATTTTTAGATGAAAAAATAGTTTGTGTTTTGACCAAGTGAACATTTTCATGGAAGGTGTTTGCCTTCCATGTAAATGTTGACACTTTGTCAAAAAAGTGACTGCCTGAAAACCAAAAGGTTCTTCCTTTTTGGGACAAAACCACAAAATTTAGATTATGAAATACTGCCATAATGTCTCAGAAGAGCTGGGATGGCCATGATACATCTCCTCTGGTACATCATGGGAGATGTGGTTTGCCCATGTAGTCCAGTCCATGGTGGCAGCAGTGGGGAGACAAGGCGATGAGGCGGGAAGGCATGAGGCACCTGAACTACAACTCCCATAAGGCACTCTGGAGACATTTCTGATTTGAAATCTTCATCTTTGATCTTGAAAAATTTTGGCTCAAAAATTTAAGTTTTTGATTTTTCTTTTATGTCTAAGAGTAGAAATTTTTCACGGACTCCTCCCAAGTAGTTTCTGACAAGCTCTAATGAATAACATTGTGCACAATCTGAAAAGAGTTAGTAAAACTCTCTTTTGAGACAGAGGGGACCATGTAACTTACTCTGCTGCATGTGAAATATTAAACAGGAGACCAACTCATATTTCAGGAGGCTGATACTCCTTTGCAACTCTCAAGTCCCAGTCATTTGTTTTTACATCAAAACAAAATCTGGATAGTTTCAGGGAAAAGATTTGTAACAAAAACAACTACCAACAGCATAAGAAAAATATCTTTGTTATTAAGAATACATCATGTAATCATAATCATTTTTATACAAATTTTAGTATCCCATATACTTATTATAAATAACATGAGCAGTGTACAAAATGCATAACTAAAACAAAATTGTGTCTTGCCAAATTAAAAACAAATTCATGGACCTGATTCTCATCTTCCATTGACTCAATGGGGTTCTAATTTATTCACCATGAAATATGATCAGGAAGTGACAGGGTTAGAGGCTCTTTTACACTGCAGTATCAACAAGCTATTACTTGAATGCCACTTCAACTTCTTTTTTAGCTCCCCCCATTTTTCTGAGTTATCACAACTGTACTGGAAATTTTCAGGCAGATACTTTTTATTACTTTACTTTTCTAGCTTTCCAAGAATGGCTAAACTCATCTCAACTTTCTACACTGTGGGAAGGGTAAAAAATTTCATCCAATTTTGATTTTGTTAAACTAATGCCAACATATTACAGATAAGAATTCTCCCCATTCCTGTGCATGTCTGCAAATGTTTCAATTAAATATTTATTTTTAATATTAATAAAATAATGAACTCTTTACCTTAGTATTCTTCTCTTTTAAACTTATCACATTTTAAACTCATCAAAATAATATTTCTTTCTAATAAAGTTATACATGGTACTTAGCTAGATGAAACAAAGTTGTCATGTGCATGAGACTTAGTCAGGAAACTAGCCCGACTGTTGCTATGTCCATATGTTGGAATCTTGGGGGGGAGGGTAGGAGAGACAGGAGGGCTACGTCTACACTGGCATGAATTTCCGGAACTGGTTAAAACTGCTTAAACTATTCCGTTTTCAGTTTTTCCGGAAAAGGAGCGTCTACATTGGCAGGCTGCTTTTCCGGAAAAGCCCTTTTTCCGGAAAAGCGTCTGTGGCCAATGTAGACACACTTTTCCGGAAAAGAGCCCCGATCGCCATTTTCACGATCGGGGCTTTTTTCCGGAAAAGACTACTGGGCTGTCTACACTGGCCCTTTTCCGGAACAGTGTTCCGGAATAAGGACTTATGCCCGAGCGGGAGCAGAATAGTTTTTCCGGAATAGCGGCTGATTTTTGTACAGTAGAGCATTGTTGCTTTTCCGGAAATTCAAGGGCCAGTGTAGACAGCTCGCAGCTTATTCTAGAAAAGCAGCTGATTTTCCGGAATAAGTGGCCCAGTGTAGACACAGCCGAGTTGGTATTTTAAGAATTATAAAGGAGTAAGGAATTTACAATTAACCCCCCCCCCCCCAACTTGAATCTGGAATCTAATTATCTTACCTGGATTTGCAGTGCTTCTGATAGGTTGCAGAAAATACCTCTTACTTTACTTTTTTAACTGTGGATTTGCACACATATATATGATTATTTCTCTCGGAATCCTAAACTGACCAATTTCTGCTATAAGTCCTTTATTGTGAAAAATATCCTATGGTTAACTGAAAATATAAGAAGAAAGGTCCATCCAAAAGATTTCTGCTATGTAAGCACAGTTAAGGTTAAGATCATCCCAGAAAAGGTCACCTTGCCAGAGGAGCTCCTGCAATATGAAAATAGCAAATCTTGCAAAATAGCATCATCCATCATTCCTGGAGACCCAACCAAGGCACTCTTTGGAGTTGAGAATCCATGGATGTGGGGGGAAGGATACTAAGGCCCAGATTCAGGAAGGTACTTAAACATGTACCTGTATTTTGTAATCCCCATAGACATCAGTGGGACTACTTGGACACACGCTTAAAGTTAGGCATGTGCTTAAGCAACTTCCTGATTCAGGGACAGAATTCTCCCCTTGCACTCATCAGGGCAATCTGTCCCTTTGGGTGTCCCAACGTTTTATTTTGTTGTTTTCTCATAACTGAAAAAGTGCTGCCCAGAATTGAAACCAACACCTTGATTTAGATCACATTTTTGTTGGCGGCAAAGGGGAATCTTGATTGATTTCCAGAACTAATTTAACATCCTGCTCTTAAGTCTATGTTCTAAAAAAACCCTGTTGGTTATTAATGTATGTAGGATATCAACCTGATCCAGCAGATTAAGTGCATTACATAGTTGTATGGATGGATTATATACATAATTTAAGAATGTGACATACATATAGTTGCCTGCATGAAATTAACTAAGTAGGCAATATAGAGCCCACTGAATACTGGTTTAGATCTTTTCCATTCAGCTGGCTCAAAGATTATTCCACTTTTGGACGCATCTTCCTTCCTAAAACTCAATCCCTGCTGATTGGTTCTCCATACCTGAAGCTCACAGAACTCTGTAGAGCACTGAAGCTCTGTAGGTTACTGTAAGTAACTCAATCTTTATCGATTATGTAGTCAGTTCCTTTTAATTTGGGTTACACACGTAAAATCAAGAAAACAGGAATGAAGAAAAAACATACTCAGTATGACCTGCAGAAATATACCCACATGAAGGAACTGCAAAGGTATATGAGGAACTGACAAGTCCCTCAAAGAAACATATAGAAAACGGGCAAATTTCATAAATGTCAGAAAGATTTCTGCAATGTCATGCAGCAGGGCTAATATTAGAATTTGAACAACACGATTGACATAGTATGGGTATATCTACACTGCAATTAGACAAATGCAACTGGCCTGTGAAGGCTGACTTGGGCTAACTGTGTGGTAGATTTTTGGGCTCAGGCTGCAGTCTGACTTCTGGGACTCTCCCACTGCATGATGTCCTAGATCTTGGGCACCAGCCTGAGCCTGATTATTGATATTGCAATTATATCCCCTTAACTTGAGCCTCATGAGTGTGAGTCAGCAGCTGGCATGGACCAGCTGTGGATTTTTAATTGCAGTCCAGGCAACATGGACAGTACTTCTGGTATAGAAATTATAGCAGTTGCCCTCCGGAAGAGAGACATGAAACAGGATAAAACAAAAACAAAACAACCAACCCTGGGATCTGGGAAAGATGCTGCCTGTATTGGTGTTCATATTTGATCTAGGTAGATCATAGAAGACCTGAAGATGAAGTAGCACAATGAGGGATTTTCTTTTGTATTTGTCACAGGGAAGAGGTCTTCTTAACACTGCTAGCACTGTAGTAAGAGGAACCATGCTAGATACACAAAAAAACTGTGTAGACTATAATGGTGGAAAGTGAATTTCAGGTTTAGTTATTTGAAAGGAGTGGTAATATACATTGTAGATGACTAGGGGTAAGCTAATTTGTTGATCCAACTTTTCGGTATAGAAAATTGTGAGGAATCACATCCCTATTCATTCTTCAATCCTGCTTTCAAACAATATTTTTTCCTCTGGCCTCTGGGTAGTGATATGACTTTCTCCAGAGTTCAACCATGCCATCCCAAGCACTATCTACAGCATTTGGTCACATGTGACCCTTTAGCCACTCCTATTCATTATATACTGAGTCAAAGAGTCATGTGACATATTACACTAAGAAGATTGCCCGTTACCTTCGACTCATGCAGCTGACCCTTGTACTACAATCTGCAGAAACAAACTGGATGAAATTCTTTCACAAACAGTAGGCCTCATTCTGATCTCATGTATGTCAATGTATCATCATGGAATTTAGGCTCATTTTCATGAGTGCAAATGAGATCAAAATCAGACCCTTGTCTCATTCACATCAGTTCTTCCTCTTAGTAAGTTTCCTGCTCCTTTACCCATCCCCATATCACGTATAGAACATATTCTCTCATTGCTGAATGAGCCCACTGTTCATCCAATGTAAGCAGTCACATCTTTTCAGCAAGGGTGTGTCTAGACTACATGGCTCCGTCAATGGAGCCATGTAGATTTGTTTGTTTGGCAAAGGGAAATCAAGCCACGATTTAAATAACCGCGGCTTCATTTAAATTTAAATGGCTATCCCGCTCTGCCGATCAGCTGTTTGTCGGCAGATCGGGGCAGTCTGGACGTTCCCCTGTCGACATGAAAGCCCTTTATCGACCTCCCCAGTAAACCTCATCCTATGAGGCATAATGGGGAGGTCGATAAAGGGCTTACAGGTTGGCGCGGGAGCGTCCAGACTAGCGCGCTGAGACGACAAACAGCTGATAAGCTCAGCGCAGCAGCCATTTAAATTTAAATGAAGCCGTGATTATTTAAATCGCGGCTTCATTTCCCTCTGCTGATCAGCCTAATCTACATGGCTCCATCGAAGGAGCCATGTAGTTTAGACACACCCTTGCTGAAAAGATGTGACTGCTTACATTGGATGAACAGTGGGCTATTTCTAAGGGACAAGCAGGAGTCATTTTAGAACATACACGTCTCCCTGCTTTATCTTGGACCTCATTGTATGACACTTCAGACTGACACTTCAGACTGACACTTAGCCAATTAATTTCTAGTACAAGAATATCTATTTCCTCAAAGCACAAAAACAGACAAAGGCTGGAATGTATGTAACCACCACTAGTAGATGTCTCAGTAAATAGAGAAAGCTACAGTCAGAGCTGTCCCTAAGGTACAGTTAATTTTATCCTGGGCCCCGCACGCCTCTATGAAGGTCCCTGATTACAGCACATAAGGACAAGAAAAGAGAAAACTGGAAAATTATATATATATTACATCATCAGTGCATTTTTATACTATACAACTCTGAACATCTCTTCTTGCTGTATATAACCAGACCTAACTAATGATTGGCTGTTTTGTGCATCCTCGAGTCTTTGGGTGTAATCCTTTGCTTGTAGTCCTCTCCAGAGCCAAAGTCCACTGTGTCATGATAGTTTGTAAATTCCTGAGGTAACGGAAACTCCTCTGCTGATGAGTGAGTCCTGTGTCCAAACACTCGCTCCTGCAGCTCAGCAATGTCATTTCTGATGTCTGCCATCATCAGCAACAGAAAATCAAATGAGCCTGGTGGGCCCTGCAAATATGGCGTGTAATCATTATTAACACTCATTATTTACTGCTTTTATATTTTCCAGGCACTGCCCAAATATTAGCCTACTTATGCTCACTGGAGAACTTTGACAAAACACTGCTTGGGGTTGGCTGCCTGAAATAAACCAGCTCTCCTTCAATCAACCTGGAATAACTTAGAAAAGCAGCTACAAATAGAAAATACTTTGAGCAGACAGGGCTCCATCTTGCAAAGATGAATAGTTCTGTGACTAGAGAAATGCCTCTGACCCCCATTGGCGTCAGCTCTCATTATTTTAGAAGAGTAATCTGCACAAAGCAGAAATGAAGCATTGTTCAATGGAAATTCCTTTCCTCATGTTCCTTCTATTTTTTTAAAAAATAATTACTTAATCTTTATGAATGGAAAATTGATAATAAAAACAATCAATAGGAAAAACTAAATTTTAAAATGAATCCGAGTCGTAGGTCTGCAAGCAACCTCAAGAGGTCATCTAGTTCAGTCCCCTGCACTCACAGCAGGACCAAGCACCATCCAAATAATACCTTACAGGTGCTCTTCAAAATCTCCAAACATGGAGATTCCATTTCTCTACTGTAACCCATATGCTGTTTATCAATTAGTAAATACTTTTCCCAGCTGTAAAAATGTTTCCATCTGTTACTATCTATTTTACAAAACCCAGAATGTTTTTTTTACGTTCTCTTCACATGGATAAATGCATGGAAGCATCAGATCATCCATTTAAGAATCTGTTCTGTAGGAACAAGAGTCTGAAATGATTCAACATCCTCCAAATATTCATCCTTGTCCAGATAACCTGCCCCCATGCTACACCTCACTCAAATCCTCATTAAGCCCTATTTTGAGGATGTAAGGGATGACTATGAGACAGATTTGTAAAGATATTTAGGTAGCTAAAAATGCAGATAGGTGCCCAGCAAAATTTTTCAAAAAACACACCAGTGCCTAACTGCATTACTTGCTGCTGCAGAAGGCTGAATTTCACTGACCGAATAAGTATATGGAAACAAATACTCTGCATTGTGGCTCCATCTCTTCGTTTTTTAATCTTTGTTTGTTAATTGCACCAAATCCCAATCAATCCCTTCCTACAGACTGGTGTTCCCTTTAAGCAAAATATTTGCTGTCCCAATCAAGCAGCTGTTATTGCCATTTACTATTATTAAGATAACTAGTTCCATGGGTGATGTCTCAGGACAGTGCCTTCTAAAGACGTATAGTATACTCTGATGACATGATGGAGAAGCCCCATATCCACTGAAAATTACATCTTTAGTAGGTGCTATCCCAAGACATCTCCCCCGGAGGGTATGCAGTCAAATATTAAGGCTCAGTTAAACCTTTTGGTATAAACTACTGATACAGTAACAGAGACATAAATTGCTTTCTCCATAGATAGCTGGTGACACTGTTATCAGATCATGCCCTTTCTTTACTGTAGGAATCCTAGTTAGCCAGCAGTGATACTTACAGGTGGCCCTTTTGGTCCTGGTGCTCCTCTCTCCCCCTGTAACAAATAACATTTTAGTTAGCTGTGATTAAAGTAAAGAGAAAAATGACATGGATTTGCCTCAGGTGAGGCATTCACTCATCCCTTGGCAACTATAGACTTCACCTTAAATAAGGTGATGTAAGCTAAGAGGAACAGGAAGGACAGCTTTCACCTCAGCTACACACTGGGGCTTGAGTAAAGGAGGGCAGAACAAGGCTGCCATAAGAAAGTCCCTGGGTTGGGGCCCTCCTTTCCCCCTTACATTGCACCTTGCCACACTGGACCAGGGCCAGTATACACTGCAGCTTGCCCCTGAAGTGAGGGGCTAGACTTTGAGGCTGCAGTTGGTCACTGAGGCTCATGGACTGAGGACTCTCAACACCCCCAAAAGGGGAAAATGCAGTGGTGAGCATTGCCGGAGGGCCGTGTCCTAAAGTGGACCTCGTGCACCAAGAGAGTGATGTGTATTCAAAGCCAGAAAGTGGAGACAGGAGAGCAGAGTGATGATGAGTGAGACACCAACCACAAGATGGCACACTTCACGAACTGAGCATGATCAGAAGGAGGCGTTGTGGTGATGAGTTCATCCCTTTGCAGTCATACAGTCATAGAACTGTAGGGCTTATTGGGACCTCAAGAGTTCATCTAGTTCATCCTTTTGCCCTGAGGTAGGACCAAAGGTGTTTGGCTAACCTGTTCTTAAAAACCTCCAATGACCTGCCGTGGTAACCTAATCATGAGCTTAATTATTTTTAGTTAGAAAGTTTTTCCTAATATCTAACCTCAATCTCCCTTGCTGCTAATTAAGCCCATTACTTCTTGTCCTACCCTCAGTGAACACAGAAGATAACTGGTCATTATCCTCTCTCAGGGGAATATGGAGAAGAAAAGGGCAGATGCTCAGCATAGAAGAGGGGAAAGCATTGTTTAAGAATCAGGGAACATACATGAAAGAACAAAACAGAGTGGGAGAAGGACACAAAGGGATCCATAGGTGGGGAGGATTCAGCAGTGCATAGGGAATGACAGAGACAGAGTAGGGGTGCAAACGTGTGGGTGGTCTTGAAAGTGAGGCTACAGAGTATGAACTTGATGTGGAAACAGAGAAAGAAGTAGAAGGGCTTTGAAGGGTGGGAAATGTGGTCAAAAATGTAGAGGGTGAGAACTCTCCGCATTTGAAATAAGCTGATCTGCATAGCAATCAGTGAGGCTGGTGATATATGCATACAGGGTGATATATGCATACAGGAAAAGACTAATACTTCCAACCTCACCTTGGTACCATGTCTCCCTGGTGCCCCTGGCGGACCCTGAAAGACAAAGGAACTGGTCTTTACAAGAATGAAAAGGCATGTGTGCACACACGGAGGGTGTGGGAACACACTGCACATTCTTGATAGGAAGATAAACTACTGACCATTGGGCCCCGTCGGCCCTGCTTAATATGTGATATGTCAGGCGATGGTCCAATGGGTCCCATTGATCCTCTAGGACCTGGATGGCCTGGAGATCCAGGTGAGCCAGGCAATCCTGGACTTCCTTTTGGTCCCGGGGCCCCTATAAATTAAAAAGTGACCCAGTGAAGGTTACTACCCAGTTAGAAACTTTCCATTAGTATATCAATGTAAGCGGCAAAGTATACAATTATCCTAATGGATTCCCCTTTTCCTTTCTCACTTTTCTGTAGGATAATACTTGACTGAATAGCTGCAGTAATTCCACAAAACCAAAACTCAGCACTAAGGCAGTCAGTAACAACATTAGTCACAGCAACAGCACCTTTCTTCACTTTCATCCCAGGAGCTCCCCATGCTTCACAAACATTAATTAAGGAAACCTCATGAAAAGAGCTAAACTGCAACTGCTATCAGACGGAAAGTCAGGGATATCAAGAATGGAAAATTAAGAGAAATGCAGAAATTTCTCAATACTAACACAATATAGAGTAGAAAGGCAATTTAAATTAAAGAAAACCCTCTTGTAAAAAAAAAGCATCAGGCAACTTGCAGCAATGGTATTTTTAAGGCTCATCACGGGAAACATAGAAATAATGACTTTTATGTTCAGTCCACTTTTACTGGTGATGTGTTGCATCTTTCTTCTACCTGATACATGAGCAGAAACATGTCTATTTCTATTCCGCTTCTTTTACTCATTGGCCAGGAGGTAGCTGTTGACTCAGTACAAAATATACTTGTAAAAGGTGAAGACAGACAAATAATATATATATAGGTCAAGAGAAACATTGCCTTTCTTTGCCTCTCACAAGTAGACATCATGTCTGAAACAAACAATGTTCAAATAATAAGTAACACTAAAGTGGTAACTGGCTGAATTGCTTTATCTCAGCTGATGATGCATTCTTCTTCGCAATGCTTGGACATGAAAGTAACAAGAAATGCAAGTCCAACTGTGAGTTGTAAAAAAGAACTAAAAATGTTAAGACTAGGATTTGCAACTGCCACTGATTTGTTGAAAATCCCAGTCTATTTGTTTACTAATCACACAGAGGATAGATTAGCAAAGATGGTTTTCAACTAGCAAAAGATAATTCTACAGTACCTTGGACAGCGCAGGTCATTGAGAAACTAGATGGAAGAAGTGTAGAGATTAGAGTTTAAGCATTGTTCAGAACGATTTCAAGAAGATAATAAACAGTGCATTGCAGTCAGAGTCGTAGCCAGAAGAAGGGAATAAAACGATACTGTCTTTGCACTGGTGAAATACTGTAGACTGAAAACACTCTCCACCAAGAAAATAGAGCACAGATCTCTTTTACTTAGAGAATAAAAGAGAGAGTAATGACAGGAATCAATTAAGTAGATATGAAATCAAACTAAGGATCAAAGCTAGAGCTCTGCAAAACTTCTTAATGAAACCCAGAACCAGATAAAATTATCTTGGGTTTGTTACTAATCCAAAATTTGACTGAAATTAATCAAAGTTAATGAACCTTTTAGCATATTTGACCTTAGCTTGAAGATGTCAGGGCTGAACTACAGTTTTATAAACTCTGTGGTTTCTCATGGTTTCAACCCCAAATGAGATAAAATGCAGTTTTAGTTGGTGTCAATGGAGTTTTGTTTTTGTTTTACAATTAATTTGAATCCAAAAATCAGCTCTAAATCAATTAATGAATACATGCATAAATATCATTAACAGGTTTGTTTGATCCCTTGCAAATTGAAAGCACATTTCCTATTGTTCTAATGAGAATGGGCTAAAGTAACAGGCATTTTTGAAATGAGGTGAGGACTGGTTCAGGCTGGGTTACAAAAATAAGAAATGGCGACTAAAATATGGGAGACCCCAAGAAGAAATGGAAAAATCATCTATGCTTTTTGTTGTGAGGAAATGTTTGAGGAAGAGAATTTGGGAAAGATCGAGAAGGCACTGTCAGATTGTGATGTGATCGGCAGAGAAACCCAAATCTAAAAGAAAAACGTTGCACTCTTAGAATTATATTAAATTAAAAGCTTTTTGTTCATAATACTATTTTATATTTGATTTCTTCTGGTTTGCATCTTACCTGCAGGGCCTGGATGTCCTGGTTGCCCAGGGGGGCCTGGTATATATGCATTAGATGCAAGCACTTTTTCACCAGTGATTTGCTTGCTAAGGTCCGCAGCAATGTTTGGTAATAAAGCAACCTGAGTAGGGGGGAAAGAGAAAGGGTTGTAGATCCACAATAGTTCCACAGGTTCAATTACAATTCTTGTTAAGTTTTTCTGGAAACAAATATCAGAGGGGTAGCTGTGTTAGTCTGTATCTGCAAAAACAAAACAAAACAAAACTCAAGGAGTCCCATGGCACCTTAAAGACTGAGGGTATGTCTACACTACAAAGTTAATTCGAACTAACAGACGTTAGTTCGAATTAACTTTGATAGGCGCTACACATACAAACTGCTAGTTCAAACTTAATTCGAACTAGCGGAGCACTTAATTCGAACTAGGTAAACCTCATTCTACGAGGACTAACGCCTAGTTCAAATTAACTAGTTCAAATTAAGGGCTGTGTAGCCACTTAATTCGAACTAGTGGGAGGCTAGTCCTCCCCAGCTTTCCCTGGTGGCCACTCTGGGCACCACCAGGGAAACTCATCTGCCCCCCTTCCGGCCCCGGAGCCCTTAAAGGGGCATGGGCTGGCTATGGTGCCCGTGCCAGGTGCAAGCCTGCCAGCACCCAGCC